GAGCAGGCAATATAGAAATTACACTCTAGTTACTAAAATCCAGAAAAGATTCTAAAATGTATAGGAACATTTTTGTGCGAACAAACGCAGCTCTGACAAATTCGTGGTTTACTAAGAATCAAACCATATGTGGAAGCTTAGAGAGTACCAAAACTTCTAATGAGTGAAGAATATATTGCAAGTAAAACAACTTTGCATTATATAAATAAAACAGCAATTTTTTAACTTAATAGATATAAGAAGTGCATGGGCTCATTGCTATGGGAGTTTGATTACTACATGATTTTTTCACAGTACGCCTTACACTTCCTGCATTTCCAAGGAAAAGAAAACATGAGTGCAAAGATACTCCATCTAAATACACCCATGTAAGATCTCTGACACCCAAGTACATTCAAATTCCGAATTCCACTCTCAATAACGAATGGAAAATCTCCAGTTCCACTAGGAAAGGCCTATCTCAGCTGGTATTTTTGAAACTGACTTTTCCCACTTTCCCTAAAACGGCTTTGACAAATCCCTTGATCTCTGTTTCTGGCTGACACTTAAAGTCTTTTAAACTCAGAGTAATAATGTTTAGTGTTTTTGCTGATAGTGCAAGTCTGGCATTAAGTTCTAAACATTAAACCAATACCTGGAATATTTATCACTACAAGACCACGTTTACTTAAAATTCAGAAATTGTGATGAAGCACATCACACAAGACACAAAGCCTCCTTTCTTTTCAAAGGAAACACAAGTTTTCCTCGACTGGATTATCATCAATAGGTATAACAAAACCTGCCATAACTTTGTTCCTCAATCAATGAAGAGATTCATCTAATTATTTGCCTTATGGGACTACCAAATACAGTTCAAACAATCTACGTTCATCAGCCTCAAATACATCAGAACTGCTTCTTGGGGCTCTTAAAATGAGGAGCAAGCAAATCAGTTCAGAGAACAGAACCCCTGACATTCTGCCAGGAACCATGTGTGGAGAAGTACTTAAAAAAGATGTAATACTGAGAGACCTATCCTGCCAAGGTGAACTGTTCAATGGTGGTGTTGCAGCGGTCATTTTAATGATGGATAATGTATTTTCATTTCAGTCTCTTAGTTGCAAGATTACACATGAACCATATTCAAGAAAAAAGAAATGTACTCTTTCAAATTTAAGTTAAAATCTTCATACAACCACGTATACAACCAATTTTTAACAACCATAATCAAAAGCAGGGGTTTAAAAATCAATATATTGCAACAGGTTCACTACAATTTGCAAGAGTTGATAACGATGAGAAACTTTCAGGTCCCTTGAAACTGGACATTAGGTCATGTTCTCTTTACATAATAATTATTATTATTAAATATAAGCAAATTCCTATCCACTTTTATGATCAATAAATAGCACATGCTGGATAGACACTGCATCTATATTTGAATCTCTCTGTATCTCTCAGAGAAAAAAAAAAATCTTGAAAAAAGCAGCAGTATCACAGGATTTTTTTAGATTTTTTTCCCTCAAGGACTTGAAAAAAAATGTTCCAACCACACTACTACCATTCCTGTTATATTTGAGACTGGCTATGTTAGTAGGGCAGAAAAGACTTAACGGAAATTTCTTTTTCTCACAACTCCCTGAAATCAGACCCCCCAGTCTTTACACATACATATTACACAGTGGTCTGCTGCGATGGAAATAGATAGGTCTTGTACTACCTACTGGCTATCCTTTTTGCTGGGTCAGATGTTGTTGGCCTACTAAAATGGGGGAACCTGTATCCTTTAGCACACAGGACAAGGACTTTTAATTGCTGAGGCTTGACCTAGTATTTTCAGATTTTTTGGTACGCAAACTTTGCTTTTTGTGATGTTGTGAGGAAGTTATCTATAAGAGTTCCTTTTTCACAACTGATTATGATTCCATCATCAGTCATGGCTAGATATCAAATTACTTTTGGCATATATCTTGTATCACAATCTGGCCACAGAGTACTAAATCAGTGTTTCACAGAAATTTCTCATCATTTCACTAAATGCAGCATGGTTATAATTCTAAGGGTTTCATTTCAACTCAAATGTAGTGTTCACACAGCTGCGGGAAAGCACTAGGAAATGGGTGGCGAGGCAAACTTGTGAATTACATTCCCAGTGATCATAAAGACATTATATACTGGATATTTTATTGCTTCTGTCAAATAAAATTTGTTAAAAATGTAGGTTAATCAGGCTTGATAGAACCTCTTAGCTTTTTTTCCACACATCACAATTTTCTATATCATTACTAAACGGTATACTGAGTATCTAGGCATATCGTCAGCTAACTACCTCATCTTTGCAACCACTGTTCTCACCTGATATTTGGGAGGAACTGGAAACCAAGCAAACAGAACTTTAATTTGGATTGACCGGCATGGTTGTGCACCCAAGAAGTGCAAAAAGCACGAGTCAATCCCCAGTAAGTTAATGGAGCATTAGCTTACAAATCACAGCACTAAGATTCCTCTGTTTTCATAGTACTTGGAGGTATTTTTTAATGAAAGTGAAATTATCATTCAAACTAGGATTGCAATGAAAAAATATCCAATATAAGTCTCAAAATAATGTTGTGATAGTAACAATAATGGTAGATCCAGTTTATTTCAAGACACAGCAAATGCTGCCGAAGTTGTGAACACAAATAGCATATGGCAAACCCAACCTAACAGAGACCTGCACTCTAGATTGTCATCACAGACAGTCAGTATATACAATGGAAAAAAGCAAGAAATTCTAGCGTGCAAGTTGTCTTTCTAAAAGATATGTAACTGCACCCTGAGCATGCCAAATTATGCTCATTGATATAAAGGAACATAGTGGGAATAGTTTACAAGGTAGGTGTCTAAAGTTAGGTGAGATGAAACCCAAGGCACTTGACTTTTGTTCTTCCTTTGCCTCAAATTATTTGAGACAAATTTGAGGAAAGATTTTGATTTAAACAGATCAGCAGCTTCTCAAAATTCACCTTCTTTCGGGCACATCAAAAGTTGTTCACTTAAGAAAAAAAAAAAAAAAACACACTTAAAACCAGTCTTGAAAGTATACAGCAACCAATTCTTCACATTGCAAATCATGTTGCATTTGAAATCCATGACACAGGCTCTCATCCCTCCACTCCCTTCTCCAGCAACTGGAAGAACTTGTCTTTCCAAAAAGCTGGATTCTGCACTATGCCTCAGGCTGCAGTGAGTCAAGCTTTCATATGGGATTGGCTGAATGGTTGTTTCTTTTTTGCCTTGTGGTTTTTGTTTTTTCTTCCCCTAAAAAACTACCAAGGGAACTTGGGGTGGACTTAAGAGTGTAGAAAAGTTAACTTGGTTTTTAACTGCTAAGAGAGGAAAATGTTTACAAAGCAACAACTGCTCTGTACATGTATGAGAGCAGTATTGGATTTACAATTGGTTATTGTTTCCTCTATTGCCAAAACTTCTTTTTTTTTTGGCAAGAACTTTTTGGCATGCAACGTTAGTTCCAAACGTTGTTTGTGTTTGGTTTATGCTCTACAGTAATCTTTTCTTATATTTTTTAGCTTTTTTAGCTGCCTGGCAGAGCATGCCTTTCAAACTCATAATCAAGAACAACAACGTGGCAGCAAAGATAGAAACAAAATTAAAACAAAGTGGTGGAAAACATAGTGATCTTGGTTCCAGATAATAGTTAATTGCATGTGTTTGAGACACTGTCTCTTATAGCAGTGGATCATCAGTGCAGTAAAGGCAATACTGTCTATGCTAGCCATTACAAAAAAAGCCAGACAATGGCAGTCCTCCCTTATCACTCAGCTATTCAGTGTAACTGAGCCTGCTACGCCCTGTTTCATGTGTGTTTTTACATGGCAATCAAAAGTGCTTATTTATGAAAGCTACTAGCTTTCAGACATGCTCTAACATTGGCCGAGAGAACTTACTTAGCTTGTCCTAGATCTAACAAAGAGTCGGAGGCAGTTAGATATATAACTCAGGAGGTTTAAATCAAGTTCTTTGATTTCATCTCAAGACAGCATTCTTTACCCACTATACTGTCTCAGTGTTAATTACAGAGTATTCTTTGGAACTCCACAAGCTATACTGAGGTAGACAAGAATTATTTTTTGAGATCATGATTCAAAAGCTTATGATTATTCATTTTGCTTCCCTTTTGAGTTAAGAAACTGAAGTGACACTAAAACTTAGCCAAATGTTTTTCATAGATATAAAAATACACATATTATATATAATAAGACTCCGAAGAAGTGCATTTGAAATCCGTATGCAAATAAAAATATAATTTCATACATGTTTCTACTCTTAAAACAAGTCCCAAGATAAAACAGAACAAATGCTTCATAGCATTAGAAGAAAGAGGAAAACAAACCCCTGGATACGCTTTGTAGATCATATCATCAACTTGTGAGGCATGTCTTTTATTTACCAGTGATTTTGTCTAGAAAGTCTAGACTGCAAATCCTTTATATAGGACTTGGATATAACTTACCACTGAATATACACAAAATTAAAAGGAAAAAGTAGCACACTACTGCAATACCTGTATTACAAATAAAGTCAAAATGCTAAGTAAATCTATTTATCTTCCCAGCTAGCCTCTTGGTTGATCACAATGGGAAATAAAATTTGCAGTGCACAACCATGAGTCACCATCCATGCATATCTACTCTGCCAAACAACTGTATGCAGCAAAAGCTTAACTGTAACATAGATGCTAAAGAACAGAATTGTAAGAATAATTAGGCTTTTAGCATCAGTTAAGGAACTACACTTTCCCTCTCCCCAAGGTATTATTCAAACTGTATCCAAACCCAAACTAAAACTGTCCTTACCAAGGTAAAAAGCCTAAAGTATTGTTCGCTCAAAATCAAACTTGCAACATAAAACCATTTGTGTCAGTTACTATAAACAGAATATAAGATAATTAAAAGATTTTTCACAAAACTTCTGAAAAAAGAATCAAAGCACATCATTTTCCAATAGTCAACACTTACCATGAGTATCAGTGATTTCTGTTCCTTTCTTTCCCATATATTCAGGTGAGTGACCTAGTGGAGCAAATGAGAATAGATTACCTGAAGACATTTAATTCCTTCTGTTGGAAGTATTTCGGTTTGCATATATAAGTGAAAGTTCATGGATCAAAGACTTGAAACTCCTATATCTTATCTTCTAGGCCAGTGGCTCTAGAATCATTAGTACTTGTAAGTTATCTTATAAAAACTAAAAATGAAAAATACAGATTTTGACAGCAAGGCCTGAGGGAGATCAAGTACTGTAAATGTATTAGTAAGGAAAGTAAATTAACAATAAATCATCTTTCATATATAGAACTAGACATGAAATAGATCAATATTTTAACTGACTAAATCAAATAACCATTATATGAGATTATGCTTTAAAAGTATCAGAGGTTTATGGGTAAAATTAAAGGTATAAGTCCACTTTTCAAGAGTTTTAAAAGGCATAATGTTGAAGTTTAGTCACCTTACTCCCATCCAAAGGGTTCGATCCTGAAACCTTATACCTCTGAAGCAGCCTTAGAAGAACCCTAACAATTCTATGAGCAACACACCCAGGCCACCTGAAATAACAAAACACAAAAAAAGTAGGAAGGTATTTTTTCAAATGATTTGTTTATTTTGGAATCTCTTGAAATACTACCAGCACATCCACTGCATTCAGGAGATCACATAAAACCTTACCAATTTTCAAAGCCATTCAACTTAACCAATACGGAAACAAGACATTGTAGTCAGTGTTTAAGCATGGCCTTGATTAATAGTTCAATAACAACTTCAGCCTAAAGAAAAACAGGGAAAGGAGAGGAAAGGTGGGGAGGGGAATCAGAGGCACCTGGATCCTAGACTTTCTCCAGACTCTGGTTCCTGTATCTTTTGCATTACTAGGAAATTAAACTAGTATGAGAATTCTTCCCTTGCTAAATTTGTCAGGGTTATATTGCTCACTTCCACTACACCAAGCATGTTAGTACTGTTAAACAGACTTACCCTACCATTTTCAGGGCTGAGGAGAGCAAGAAATAATGCTAAGATTTGGAAAGCCATTTGAAGTTAAGTACCCCCAAGAAAATTAGGAAGTTTTGTACAGTCTATGTCACCTGTGATAGCCTGGAACATTATAGACAAGTGCTAGCCAAATACTTTCATGTTCAACCCTAGATCAATGCAGCAGCTTTGGCATCTCAGTTTAATACATATCCCACTGTTTAGATTCTACTGATGACCTTATCTAAACTGTTGTCATTCACACTTGGCTTGGAATAATTTTGATATAACCCTGACAAACCATATGTAGGGTGTTACAGAAACAATGCTGGACAAGCAGAGTAATTCCTGTGTTGCAGTTAGACACTAAGTATATGTCTATGACATGTGAAACAAATAACGCAACATAGGCACTATATTTTGCCCATTCACAGCTGTAGCCACAGTTGCTATCCATCTTCCATCTTTGTTTCCTGCATCCCTTGCAGTTACATCTAGTACGGAAACTGTTCTTGTGAACTTCATGTCCTTTTACACATTTGTCATGGCCTAACTCAACCTGCTGTGAGCTGTGCTTAACTGGAACAGACATCCTAACGCAAAGAGAAATCCTTTCTGAACAACGGAAATAAAAGACCACGACACAGGAGTTTCCTGGGACCCAAAATCTGTAACTTGAACACAATTTTCTTAGTGAAGGCTGAAGCACGGATTTCTGTTGCTATCTTTGAAGGGCTCTTGGAACTCAGGAAGCACAGCCATCTTCCTTCCTTTCTGGGAACTGATCAACATGCTACATAGTTTTCAGTAACTTATTTAAAGATGGATGCACGTGGCAACATAAAGAGGAAACTGAAGAGGTTTCTTCATTCCCTGACCAGCTTCTTAACTAAGACTTACAAATTTCAGATCTGTACAACCATACAAGGCGGCACTGCATAATAGAAGTTCTATTTTCTTTTTTTTTTTTTTTTTAGCATGTTAATGTACCATACTAATATTAGTACTGCATGCAGAGGTCAATAGCATCAAGCAAAGCAGGAACAGCTATGAAAATAAAGCCAACCCCGCTCAGCCGAAATGTTCTCCTGCCAACTTGCATACATAACCCACAGGTTGGGTCCAAATCTCGCAGTCAAGTCCAAAACCAAGTACCTTCTCTACCAGCCCACTCAAAACTCTGCAACTGACTTCCACAAAGTTACAGGAAGGGATGCCACACTAAGATCTCCTTCCTGTTTTCTTTTAAGGGAGTGCTGAAGGTTGGGAGCCTTTGCTAAGGTACAGCAATGTACTGAGCACAGCAGCTCAGCAGCAGTACAGACAGAAAAGTGCAAAGGTGAGTCAGACTGAAGCGATGGAGAAAACATTCTAGCATCTTTTAACATTCTGACATTGCTGCTTTACTTATTTACAACTTGTTGCCTTAATCCCAAAACACATAACCCTGCATTGCTTAAGTAACACATGAAAGGCAAAGATGCATCTTCCACTGAACCTGTGCGCAAAAGCACCTATTAAAATATTCTTGTCTGTGTTAACCACTTACCATGTTTAGTGCTAGCAATATTGAAACCACTGCACTTGTGACTTCAGTAAAAGAAATCGAAGTCTGAGTTCTTTGTAACAATATCATTAACATAATCAAACCCACCAGCAAAGATAACCACCACATAGTTCAGTAGATTTTGACATCAAGAGCTACAAGTATCTCAGTTTTTGAATCACCCATCCTGCCTATTTTCCATAAATGCAAATTCACCTTTGAATTATTTAGAATCCCTGCTTGATTCACTAAGTTAGACCAAGCAAACAATTAAGTCCAGATACTAAGAAAAACTCCTCTTTTGAAAAATTTTATGTACTTAACTACAGTTAGAAAAGACTGTCTAATAGGTCATTGTAAAATGAATTACTTGTGTAAAAACATGGGCATAACTTTATATATGAAATGGAGGCTATGCTAACTGAACAGGCCTTAAGCCTCTTGCTTCAAATCCAGGAAAGCATGACAGCTTTAGCCCTGCTTTATCAATGATCTCTCTAGCACATTACAAGCTAATCAAGTGTTTATAAGCTTTACTAGATCAGGGTGCTCAGATTTCCTTTTCATTACTGAGTTGAAACCAGGTTCATCATGTTGCCCAGAGGACAGAAGGCTGGAACACTTACCTTTTGACCACAACAATAAAGGACAGAATCTTCCATAATTACTCACAAAAATCTCACAGTGAAAACGACATCTGGACTACTGACAGCAAGTCAAGAAATTATTTTTACAATTTAACATTACACTGGCAAAGGTATTATTCAAATCCGATACGTTTTTTGGTTCAGATGAAACTTTGGCTGCACACCAGAATCGGTAACAAAACTTCCATCAGTGAAGCTGTATTATGTTACATTAATAGGACTACTTCCTAAGAATGCTGTGCTGCCTACAATAATAGTGACCTCTTACCAACCATGTTTTCTTCCCTGATTTCTTTTGATCCACTTACTTCTTGTAGACTTTCATCCCTGAAATATCAGTGTGGATCTACTGACAATTATTGGAAAGTCATGTTGTTTTATGGAGCAACTACACAGTAAAATTTTGAACAGCACAGGCTCACAGGAGATGCAATCCTTCACAGTATGATTAAATAGTGGCAGTCTATTTATGACTGACAGAAAGAGAGGAGCAAAGGTTCTGCATACTAGAAGGATGCCGCAGCCAGGATTTGGAAATGGTCTGTGAATTCTTAGAACCAGAAGTACCACAAAAACAAGGGGATGAAAATAAGCTGAGCTTCAGTCATGTATTATTTTAGTAGCATAGGCATCAAGATGCAAGATCTTGGATTATTTCTAAGGAGTAATTCTAGATTCCACAACTTGATCTACAGTGAAATTTCATGAACAGAGAAATCCAGGACAGAACTTGAGAGTACTGAATTCTGTTTAACCTTACAAAGCGTTAACATTTTATCTTTCTAACATCTGAGAAAGAATGGTGTAAATTAACTATCTGCCACAACAATATGAACTTACAGCTTTCCATAGCATATAATCTTAAATTAGGCTATGATGCCAGGAAATTTTTATTTTGTGGTTGATATCCTGTTGGAAAAATTCCAAACATCTCTTCTCTTCTTTGCTCAGCAAAAACAGTGCGTTGATTGAATCAGAGCCAATATGTACACTCATGAACTATCTTGCCTTAACTGTATTTGTAAACTAGTTAGGACAGAACTATATGTACGATGCTATAGATAAGATACAGCAAGGGCCTCATTTCAGACTTCCTATGTAAGTCCACTTAAAGCTGTCTCTCCAAACAAAACATTTTGATTCTGAAGACAAGATAAACCTTTCCACAGAAAATTTGGTGGAGGAAAAACAATACCATCTATGGTTGGAAGAGAAAAGGAAAAATAGCTTTAAACATTTATTACTATGTTCTAAAATCTCTAAATCAGAATTCCAGAGAGTACTTGGCCTAATTATTCTGGCTGGGGCATCTGAGAAAAATCTACTAGACTTCAACACTTACTGATATATCCCTATTCCTGAACCAGATATGCACTTAAGATTTATTTAGCCCTCCTGCCTGGGTACAGACATGAAATCATAAAGGATCACTCTATTTATTTCAGCGTAGGAACGTCTGTTAAGTTGCCATTTGTCACTATTCAAGCCAAGAGAAGTCTTGTCAACTATGTGTTACAAAAGAATTGAGCCATGGATTCTTTCATACTCTATTAATATAAATGCTGTCAATACCTATCTTTATGTGATAGGTCATTTTACCTCAAAATAAACACCGTAATGCTTATTTGTTAGAGCATTTACATTGTATAAATTCAAAGTCATAAATATGCACTCATGTAACTAAGTCAACACAACTTACTGGTGGCCAACTGCTATTGCAGAAAAACTATCCCAGAAAATATTAACATAATAGCATAGGGCTCCTCTTCAATGACAGCAGTCCTAAAAAATCAATGTAGGTTAAGCCAAAATTCATCATTCACATTATGGTAAAATGCTGTGCCTTCATCTAAATTCTGATGAGAGTGTGGTAGCTTACACAATTGTCTAACTTCTTACTCACATAAGGTATCTTCACATGGGAACGTCAGCAGGAGAGATTGACAACTAATATGCTAATCCACTGGTTTCAGAGCCAATTCATCATGGACTCCTTACAACAGAAGGTGGACGCAGAGTTCTACGTTTTGATGATAATGTGCAGACTCATTCTGTGAAGCCCATATACTCCTATTAAACAGAAACAGAGTTTGACAATCCACACATTTTGTGGATTCCAAATTTCTCCTGTTTATAGTCAAATTAATAACAAATAAATACACAGAATAGCGTACAAACAATAAATATTTTCTGCCTTTTTTTTAAAAAAAAAAAAAAGAAAAAAAGTAACTTGCAGTGAAACAAAAGCTTTATATACTTCAGAACATCAAAATAACCTATAAATATCATTAAGAGAACACTGTGGCAGTGACCTTGCTAGTTGGTATTGCTTTTCATGAGAACTGCATTAGGCATCTCTAATTCACTTACGTATTAGAATAAATAGGTTAAGTTAGCAAGTAAGTATACTGTTGAGGGCAGTGTACTTGTTGAGTACACTGTCAAGCACAGTAAAGACACTGTTGAGCGTAAGTATCTTACAAGACAGTAGAAGTGAAATGCATCAGATCAGCCTGCGCACTCCCAGTATGTGATAAACCGGTGTATATATTCATATGCATGCATGTGTATATACACAAAATAGTATTAAAAATATGTAGGTCCACATGGAAGCTGTTACACAGGTCTGTTGAGCGTAGTCTGAGTTTTACTAGCAGTGAGTCAGAGTTAGATCCCATTTCTGTACTACTGTCACTAAGAACTAGGGCTGCTGGCAGGAAAACCTCCATCTCCTTCATGGTAAATAACAGCTTGTTCTACGTAAGAAGAATTGCACTCTAAGCCACATCTCAGCTTGAAGCTTGCCTGAACCTTGATAAGCCATCTCTCAGAATTGCATCACTTAGTTATGCTACACGCTAACAGATTATTCTTCTTGGTAATACAGATGACTTAAGGCAGAGACCAAGTTCAGAGACCCAGTAAGAAACACTTTTTAGAAGTACAGAGGCTCTCATTGCCTATTTAGATATGCAGTTATCAACATGGGTGTGTCATGACCCATGTGCTTTTAAGTACATGCATCCTTTTCCAGGACAGCAACAGTTACTGAATGCTTAACCACTCAAGTGAAACTACACAAGACCAAATAAAAAAAAAAGCACTTCTGTTTTATAAAAAAAGATAAGGATAAAATGTTAATACTTAAGTACAAGAAGTTTGGTGGTGTTTTGTTGTTCTTTTTCTTTCAATGATAAGGAATGATAAGGGTAAAAACAACTTAATGGCTGAAACTGTAGTAGGTTCATCAGTCCCCATACTTCATTCTCTCCTTGTTGAATAGTAGTTTTATTATACCTTTAAGTCTAAATACAACGCCATGTATCTATACCACATAAATAAATATCTCTACTAATGATCACATTTAAAAGCATATTTCTTCTATTTCATGTAAGGTTGCTCACAGGAGGCAGAAGACATCCTGTATATTACAAACCATCAACAGTGACTTCAATGATATAGGATATCGTATCCCTATCATATCTGGGCTGAAAGGTTTGCAAAACCCAAACTATGTTTTTCCTTTCTAAATTAATCTTTTACTTCCCTGCTAAATTTTACTAACCAGTTCTCCAAAGTGGATGCTATAAGTAAAAAACACGTAAGTTTTTGGTGCTTTTGGTGTTTCTTTCAGGTAGTCTGAAAAAATGCAATTAGTGCACAGATGTTCTGAGCTTATGTATGAAAGCAACAAAGGGATTAAAAGACTTGATGCATCAATAGAACATGTTGACTCTGGACAGCTGTTGGCATAAACTCCTGTCACCTCTGACACAAAGCTAAATACATCAGAAAGACGGGGTTAAAAAACAATAAAGCATTCCAATCCTTGTGACATATAGAAAAACCTATAGCATCAACACAAACCATAGAATCATAGAATATCCTGAGTTGGAAGGGACCCATGAGGATCATGGAGTCCAACTCCTGGCACCACACAGGTCTACCCAAAATTGCAGACCATGTGACTAAGTGCAAAGTCCAAACGGTTCTTAAACTCCAACAGGCTTGGTGCCATCACTATGTCCCTGGGGAGCCTGTTCCAGTGTGCAACCACCCTCTTGGTGAAGAACCTCTTTTTCATATCTAGCCTAAGTCTCCCCTGCCTCAGCTTTACACCATTCCCACAGGTCCTGTCACTGGTGACTAAAGAGAATAGATTGGCACCTGCCTCTCCACTCCCCCTCACGAGGAAGCTGTAGGCCGCAACGAGGTCCCCCCTCAGCCTCCTCTTTTCCAGGCTGAGCAGGCCCAGTGCCCTCAGCCACTCCTCATATGTCTTCTCCTCTAGGCCCTTCACCACCTTTGTAGCCCTCCTCTGGACACTCTCCAACAGTTTTACATCCTTTGTGTACTGTGGTGCCCAGAACTGCACACAGTACTTGAGGTGAGGTTGTACCAGCACAGACACTACAGTAATTTCTGCACTTTTGTCCTTTCCAGTTGTTTCAGATGTGGTAATTACAGATATGGATAGTAACGTGAAGAACATTTGAAGAAACTGCATTTATTCAGCCTACATAAGAGAAGGCTCAGTGGGGGTTTAAACACAGTCTTTGACCATCTAAACATTAGCCATGGAGAAGACAGGTAGCCTCTTCATTAGGATTCTTGGTGACAGAGACAATGGGCACAAGTTGCTCCAGAAGAAATTGCACCTATATATAAGAAGAAAAATCACCATCATGAGAACATCTTCCTCACTAAAAATGTTCAAGATTCAGATTGACAGGACCCTTGATAATGCATTTGAAAGGTCTGGTTTTCTTTGCAACCTAGACTCTTCCAGAAGAGCCTCCGCTTGTCAGTTCCTCTATCAGCTGTGTCAGGAAGGTCAAGAAGTTATCAATGCACTCCAGAAACTCCCTTGACTGCTGTACTCTGCTTTCTTGCCCTTCCAGCAGATTTCAGGGTCATTCAAGTCTTCCTGTGAGACAAGGGCCTGCAAGTATAAGGCTTCTTCCAATTGTCTTTGAGAAGTGTCACGCATAACTTCTTCCTGATCGAGTGGTCTGCAGGAGATGCCCATTGCAGCATCGCTCAGCTTGGTCGCCCTTTAATACAAACTCTCATACGGTCTCATCTGGCTAATCATCAGTCCTCAGGTAAAACTTCATGCATTGCTGCTGTGCTGTTCTCCCAGACTTTCGTTCCTAAAGAGCCTGTATCCATCCACTGCAGTGTTCCAGCGATGTAAGCTATCCAGCTACATCTCTGTAATCCCAATGCCATCATAGCCCTGCAGCTGCACACAGGCCTCGAGTTTCTCCCCCATTAAGCCAAGAATTGTTTTAAAGTCTGTTATAACCACCATCTTTAAAATAATCCAATAATACTGGAACACAATCATATGCACAAAAGAACTCTTTCAACAACAAAAAAAATGAAGAAAGCAACCAACAATACTGTAGATTTTATTTGTATTGAGGTACAATCCCATTATAATTAGCTAAATATGACTTCTTAAAAAAAAAAATATAAGAGCCACTAAATAATAAGGTTATTGGTCAGTTACCTATAAATACAAAACAGGTTCTCAAAAAAAAACCAAACACGTTTGTACATGTAACTTGACATTTATGCCCCAGTTTACTCAAGCTCATAAGAATGATTTTGCTTGCCATACTACAACTGCTTTCTATGCAAGGAGCCAACACGAAGGTTGTTCTTGGGCTTACAAATTACTATAGATGAAGACTTATGGGATTGACAAGATACAGGTCTCTTACTATTCTTCATGGTAAGAACATTGTCTTCCTTTGGAGGAGGCACATACACTGGTTTCCAAGGAATGGGGTTGCAATATGCTGGAGCTGGATATGAATTTCCATCAGGGCGCCCTAAAACATTTAGAAAAAACACATAACTAAAAAGGAATATTTATGCTACAAGCTTTATAATGCCAGCAGTTATAAAAATTATTTGACTAACAAAGACACAACTGCATCTTAAAAGGTACATCACGTAATTCAAATGATTCAGAGATAAATCTTCTACCTTTCTTTTACTGGCACATTTCTCATCTGTGTTAAAAAAAACAAAAAACAAAAAAATAAAATCAGGTCGAATTCTATGCAACATTCAGAATGCTCAGTCTTCTGTAAACTTAAAAAACGTGAATGTAAAAAAACTGGCTACCTTGTATTATTTCAAAGCAGTTATAAATATGACTTCCTGTCACCATGTATGTAAAATTCACTTATTTTTCCATGTTTGCTGAACTACGACTTTTCATTTTAGTGAGGGGAAAAATATGTTGGTTTTCCATAATTACATTAATAACCTGCAATTATTAACCTGGGGGCCCACAAAGCAGTATCAGAAAGCCTAAAATGTGACTGACAGAACATATTGCTCTATCAGTCATGCTTGTCTGTAGTGAAATTCCAGTGCACTATCACGATGTTGTGTAAAACAAAGTCTATAATGTATTCTATTGTGTGAACACAACTGAGTATGAATTTTACATTTTTTTTTTAAATCAATTTAACAAATGATTGCAGCTGTCAGGAACTAATGAGGTTCCAAAACAAAACATGAAAGCAAAGTGTATCACAACCTATAAACAGATGTAAGCACAAGAGCAACTGGTTGTTCATCTGCTACATCCATTTCCTTAAGCATTCGAAGTCTGAATATTTTCTGTTATAAATTCAAGTAACAATGATTTTAATTCTGAGCAAAAAGAAAGATGAAAGCATAGATTTTTCTTGTGTTTGTTTGTATTTAAAGGAAATTTAATTAAGCACTCAAATGTAATGTGCAATACTATTTCTTACAGCACTTCAGCTTTTGTACCATGTGGGATTGCAAAGAAGAGACAAAAATCAAGTGAGGCTCTCAAAACTCCATACCAACTATCAGCAGTAGTCTCTTTAACACTTCCCTTTAAAAGTAAAACAACAATAAAACAAGACCAAGACCACAGACCCAAGAAGGTGTGATACAATTGCAATGCTAAATGCAAAGTGTAGCTAAGAACAGAGGATGATTCTGTGTCTTCTTTTTCAGACAGGACTTCTGCCAGGCTTCTGTTAATTTTTGTATCTCAAAAATCTCCTCTT